CCCCTATTTTGGGAAACCACCAAACAGTCGAGGGTTGAGGGCTTAGGCTGTCACAAATGAATAACAATGATCTGATGATTACATTGGAATGGTAAGCTGCAGACGACAAGCGGCAAACATTGGCAGGTGCAGAAAAGCAACTTCCAGACATAAGCCGCAACAGGTCCCGTCCTGCACGTCCCCTGAACCCCAGCCACGCCGTAAAGACCTGAAATCCTACTCCCCAGCAATCACGCCAAGAGCCCAAGAACCCTGTAGACTCCTACATGCGTACCCCCTCAGGCAGTTTAGTGTCTAGAGTATAGGGCTTGCCAAAAAGAAGCACAAACTAAACCCTAAGGCGTAAACCCTAAACTCGTTTGAGGCTTTGTCGCGTACGGCCAGCAGACAGCAGAGCATACGACTTGGCTTCCCAAGGCGACCATCTGAGCTATAGTCTAAACTCCTCAGAGGGGTTATATAGGGGATTATATAGGGCATTATTCTAGGGGTTATTATTGGGGATACTAGGAGTTTAGACTATAGCTCATCTGTTGAAATCTAATGTAGAATCAAATGCAAAAGAAGATGCAACATGAAATCGAAGCTACCATTCAGGGTTGAGGGGTTAGGGTTAAGGGATATTACCCCGACAATGGAGAATCAAATGGACAAGCAAAAGGTAAAATTACATGGAAAGTGGTCGTTATAGGTTTATGTAGGATTTAGGCTTTAACCCTAAACCCTGAACCCTACTTTTGAAAGGGAGTCTCCGCGGTGTTGGGGTTTCCACGATTTAGGCCTCAGGGCACGTAAGTGATACCAGGATTATGTTCAGATTTAGTCTCTATAAACATACCCTAAGGGTCCAAGGACTCGAAAAATAGGGTTTTAGGGCCCAAATACTATACGATTAATAATATGTAGACCCGAGAACCCCTATCATTTGGGCCCTTGGACCCTTAGGGATAGTTAGGGTCTGGGGTTTTGGGTTACAATCACAGCACATATTTGGTACAGGGGGCCATTTGGAGCCGCTCCCCCGCTCTCTCTCTGTCTCTCTCTTTCTCGCTCACTCTTTTTCGTTCTTTGTATATATTTATATATAAATACCTGCATATGTGTGTATATATATATATATGTTCATGCGTTTATACCGATATACAGATGTATACGTAGTACTTTATGGACGGGATATTGGTTTTTCGGGCCGTCTCCGATTGTTCTGGAACTGCCCAGAACATGAATTGAATCTGGATACTGCCCCCCCCTTCAGTAACAGCTGATAAAATTCATGATATAGTTACATAGAGCTCTAAATGCGCGCGAGATTATAGATTGTGAATGGGTGGGGGCAGGACCCAAGATAGAATTCTTGAGGATGTGGCGTTGAATGGTTCCCTTAACCCTAAAACCCAAAACGATCCGAGGAGTTGAGTTCACACGCCATGCTGTAGTACAGCTCACGGGGTCGTAGCTGTACCACATGTTTTCTGGGTCCCAAGTGTGGGCCCCTAATTTGGTGTGTTGGGGTTTATGGTGTATCTAAGGACCCTAGGACTGAAGGCTCATACTAGAGGCTTATCATTTAAACCTTAGATTTAGAAAGGTGCACTGGGATCTCGCACCAAAAACCCTAAAACCATTTCGAAAGGTCCACTGGGATCTTGCAGACAAGCTCAAGAGCTTGGACAAGGCCTTTTTCTGGGAGCCACTGTCAGCGTTTTGCAAAACGGGGGCTCTAAGGGATCTGTAGAAACAAAAACAGTGCAGATGATATCGGAGCATGCCAAAAATTGCCCTAGAATGTAATCCCTGTGGTCTCACCGCATCTTTAGAAATTATCATGTAGGAGTTAATCCCCTAACCCTCAACCCTAAAACCTAAACCCTGCGGGTGCCCCAAAGCCATACAGAGATGGTGGTTTCCAAGATCGGGTCCTTTGCTTCAGGGTATAAAAGCGGACCATGATTATGTCTCAGGTGGACACTCCACCCCGCAGACCCCCCTGAAGGATCCAAAACATGGAGCCCCCTGCTAATCCCCTAGTTTCCCCAATGTAGCAAAGAGATCATACTGGGGGGAGTCCATTTTTTGGATCCTTTGCGGGGTCTGTGCCAGTATTGGTGACTACAAGGGATAATCATTAGTAATTATAATCGGGTCCTCTCATATTCCGATTATACCACTACTACAGGGCGAGGTGTCCACCTAAATTATGTTTAAGTATCCAAAGATGGTATAGGGTTTAGCTCTTGTTGAAGGGTGCTTTGTTCTTGAAGGTGGTTCCGGAGATCTAGGAATGCTTTCTGGAGGCTACACAGGAGCTAAGCCTTCTGAGGTTTAGGGTTTAGGATTTAAGTGTTTAGGGTCTAGGTTTTGGCGAAACGCTTTAGTGGTAGTGGTGACTCGAGAGTTCTGCCTGGGATCAGTTCGGCATTTCCAGACAAATCGAGGTTCCCTTGGATACCCCCAAGTCATATTGTCCGTATGACAGGGGGCTCTCAAAAAACAGCCCTGACTTTCGGAGACTCTAAACCTTTCACGTAAATATTGTACATCCCTATATACATACATATAGCATAAACCTATTTAATATTTGCTTGTACACTCATGAATGATATGTACGTATGTCCCAGACAAGTCCGTACATTCACTTTCAAGGAACTTTTGACGTATTTGGAAAGCACTGAATGCACCCTTAACCCATACCCCCTACAGGATCCAAAAAATGGAACCCCCCCAAAATGACCTCCATTACTACACTGGGCAGTCTTGGTGATTATTGGGAGGTTCCATTTTTTGGATCTTTTAGAGGGTCTGGGAATTCCTGGGTGCTGCCTGAAGGTTGCCCTGCCTCTTCTGCATTGACGCGTTTTCTCAGGGTTAAATACCAAGACATCTAGTCCTCCCCAAATATTTGTATAACAGCTTTCTTCGTCAAATGCGAGAAGACCTAAAGCCCAGCGCGTTGCGTGTTGTTTGGATTGGTCTCCTGGAGTGATGCTGTTGAGAATTCCCATGTAGAACACATTGCACACATGCCGTTCCTGCCCGCACGGCCTAAGACTAAGGAACTCAAACAAGCAAGCCGTGGGTTCCTGTGGGCATTTCACAAGCCCATCCGGATAGAATCAAGGTTAGGCTTTAAGGTTCTTCATAAGGACTATTTAGGGTTTACGCTTTAGATGTTGTCACGAACAAAGTCTTCACTAAAGCCCTGTATTACGGAAGTTGAGGCGTGATGGAGGAAATGTTGTTCCACTCAGAACCACCGAAATGTTGTCAGTATTGGCATTTCCAGGACATCAGCTCGCGCAAGCTTTGATCCATCAGCAGAAAGGTTTTAATCCTGAATCTCAGATCTGAAGCCCAGAGCCCTGAACCCTAACCCCTGAATCCGAAACCCTGAACCTCAAAGCCTAAACCATTACCCTAAGCCAGGTTCAAGGTTTACCCCGAGCCCTCAATTCCTAAACTCACATGCGGATAGTTCGGAGGATGCCGGGGCTTTGGACGACAAAGTCTTCCAACGATTGGAGGACTCTTGCCCCCTGGGCGGTTTAGGGCTTAGGGTCTAGGGGTCTATGGTTTAAGGTTTTGGGGTTTGAAGGTTTAAGGGTTTAGGTTTTAGGGAGGACCCAAGTACCCCATAGTTAGGTCCCGGTTTACAGGGGAAAAGAGGGATATGTAGGGTTTAGGGTTTCATTCTCCAAGTACCCAATAATTTCGGTAGGTACTTGGGATGTTGGAACTAACAGTTCAAGTACAAGTTTTGGGTAAGTAGATGATTATCAGGTACTTGGACCCGAAGGCCTATCAATGGTGTATAAGCCCAAAAGTCTACGCAGCAAAATAGACCCCCTCAAGGGACTGTACTATAGTTGTCTTCACAGGTACCCCATAGGAGCCTTCAGTTTTCGGAAGCCCTAAACACTGAACCCTAGACTCGAAACCCTAGACCCTAAACCCTAAACGGTGTCCCCTCAAAGTCGGGTTCCTAGGTCCCTGGTTATGTTATGAGGTAAGGTTATAGCCGGCGTACTTATGGGATTAGGGTTTAGAATTCAGGGTTAGGGGACATTATCATGAGCATGGAGCATAAATACAAAAGAAAAAGGCATTAAGACGGAATCTGTGTTTACTATGACAGGGGCGTATAGCGATCGCTACCAATGATACGGTCCTAGGTTCCTTGTATCGTTATAGTACAGGGTACTTCAAACAGTACAGGGTACTTCAAACAGACCTCGGAATGGTACTGTTAATGGTCCAGGCCCCCTACAGTACATAGGTCATATTGAGACCCTTAAACCCCAAACCGAAACCTCTGAACCCAAAATGTAAACCCGGAGAGTTGTCGAGGAGTGTGGTAGGACTCAAGGTTCAAGGTTCACTCTGGGGCTAGGGGCGTTAAGCGCCCAGGGGATGGTTAGCCCCTGGGTAACTGGGAACGAAGGAATGGAAACACTATAATGGATTTAGGGTTTGGGGTTTGAATGGATTGAATATCAAAATGGATACTAGAATGTCTTCCCTCATATTAACAAGGAGCTTCATATGAGCTATAGTCTGAACTCCTTCAAGGGGGGTACATTTTATAGGGCTTATAAAGAGGGATCCTAGGAGTTTGGACTATAGCGCATATGGGCCCCGCATACCCTAAACCCCCGAACCTTAAACCCTTTTGAAAGGACAGTCTCTCCCCCTAAACCCTACACCTTAAACCCTATAGACCGTAAACCTCAGACCCTAAACCTTAAATCCTGAATCCGAAGCCCTAAACCGTAAACCCTAAAGCGCGTATCGAGAACGTTACGTTCCATCCTTGGGCTTTCGAAGGGTACCCCTACTCTTGCAGTCCTGAGCGCCAAGCCCGAAATTCTGAACCCAAATCTTCATGATGCTGGTGTGTATATATATATATAGATA